GGGGAGCAGTGGGCTGCCATGGTGCGGTGCAGGGGGAGCAGTGGGCTGCCATGGTGCGGTGCAGGGGGAGCAGTGTGGGGTTAAGGATCTTGCTCAGAGTGGCAGTAGGGGTTGAACACAGAATGTCAGGGTTCCACACTCTATGCCCCAACCACTAGGCCACCAGTGATCTCACCATATCCTGTAACGATCGCTACAGTCCTACCGTAGTTTGTACAATAAAGGAGAAAAAATCTTCGGAGAGTGAGTTGGTGGATAAAGAAAAAGCATCTATAATCTCTCCATCACCACCTTTTGGGAAGACATCACACCAATCAGAACAGCTTTAAATGACTTGCTTAACAGGGATGCAGAGAAGAAAATCAAATAGAATAGAAAGAAGTTTTACGAACATGGAGCCTAAGCAGGCAAATGCCAGGCCTCAGGTTTTGTGTTTGTTCTCTTCTGTGTTTAGTTTGATAAACACTGTTTGTCTGTTGAAACAATAAAAACTAAACACGTTTTTTTTCTATCTTGAAAACCAAATCAGCACAAATTACAGATTATCTCCACAAATCAGGTAGAACTGAAAAGAGCAGATAATTTTGTTTCAATTTGGAGATCAATTGGAGGATAGTTGACCTCTGCATGACCTAAAAAATAATCAGTTAAAAAAAATAATAGCACATATGATCTTTTTTAATATATATTTTTTTTTTCCATTTTTACAAATTCTCATTTTAAATGCAGAAACCTACACTAAAGAAACACTAACTATTCAGTCTATTTGCTGAGTACTAGTGTCAACTTCACACAGGTGATGTTCCTCCTATTTGGTGATGCGGTCCAGGGTTTAAATGCTGCATCTGAAATGCAGGGCAGTAAACAACCCGAGTCACAGCCAAACAGGAACAGACCAGATGAAGCTACTATGAGAAAAAGCAGAGAGAGCAGAACGTTAGAGATTGAACTAACAGATTCTGCAGAGTGGGAGAATAGAGATAGAATGAAGCAGAATGATGAAAAAGCAGAGAGAGCAGAACGTTAGAGATTGAACTAACAGATTC